ATCCCCTCTGTGCGATCGCACCGAACTCGCCTTGCGATTGCGGATTGCGAACTGCGAACTGCGAACAATGCGAACACGTCGCGAAGCGATCCGCCCCTTCGCGATTTGATTTAATATGATTTTTCACGAGCGATCTGGCGAATCGAGAATCGAGTTTCGCGATCGCGGGCTCTCTCTCTCTCCGAGTCGGCTCCGTCGACTCGTCGTTGGCCGTTGGCCGTCGATCGTCGATCGTCGATCGTCGATCGTCGATCGTCGATCGTCGATCGTCGATCGTCGATCGTCGATCGTCGATCGTCGATCGTCGATCGTCGATCGTCGATCGTCGATCGTCGATCGTCGATCGTCGATCGTCGATCGTCGATCGTCGATCGTCGATCGTCGATCGTCGATCGTCGATCGTCGATCGTCGATCGTCGATCGTCGATCGTCAACGGCCGATCGGCCGGATCGGCGACGTAGAGTAAATTCCTAAGACCGAGTAAAACGCGCGGCCTCGTGCGCATAAAACCTCGTGTTTTTCTCCCTTGGCAGCGTACGCCGCAAGATGGCGGCCAAGCTAGCCAGTAACCAAGGTGGCGCTCGCAGCAACGGCGAGCGGCAGGAGGCGGGTCCTTGTCAGTCCTACGCCAGTGTATTAAATCCAAAGGGCGCATCTCAAAGTCGGGCGACTTCCTTCAAGAGTAATAATAAAGAGAACATTGGCGAGCAAGTGACGGGATCGCAACAGCATCAACAATCTCAACAGCAGCAACAAGGAACAACGATGGTGGAGAGATTAATGCCAAGCATGGTCAAGGATAAGTCCTGTCAAAGAATCGCCCGATGTCAAGTGACGCGAACGACGATTCAAGCAACATCGGATAACTTCTCGGAGAAGGATAACCGTTACGATAACCTGCCGAGAACGCCGAGCGCGCGTGTCGTCGACGGGCGCCAGGACGATAGCCAACGCGACGTCGCCGGCGAATCGAACAACGGCGACGTCAGCAACGACGGCGAGTTCCAGACGGTCGCCCCCAAAGGCGCCCGTCGTAAGGAGAAGATGCGCGAACAGCATCGGGAAAGTCATCGCGAGCGTCACCGGCTACGCGAAAACAACAACCGCCATCAGCAGCAACCACGTGGTCCCATTGGCGTCGGTATCGGTGCCGGCAACGTGGGCGGGGGCGGGGGCGGGGGCATCGGTAGACGCGGCAGTGACGAGAGATCGCACAGAGAGCGTGCCGACCGCGGCGACCGCAATGGCGTTATCGAACACGGTCCGAAGGAGGCCCATCATCACAGGGACGATCAGAACGCCGAGGCGGAGGCACAGACGGCATCTCTCCTGCCACAGCCGGTCAAATACGTCGAGGCCCCCTTACCGGCAGTCAACGCCTGGACGAAGAACAGGACATCGACGCCGCAAATTGCCAAGACATCCCCGCAGCAGCCGCTCAGCGTCGTCCCAACCGCGACATCCACATGCGTTGACAGACAGAGCGACAGAGAGCGGAGAATTTTACAGCCGCAACAGCAGCAGCAGCCTCAGGACACGATCGGTGAGTTGGATTATTTTTCATATCTTTGCCTTTGAAGGATTTATCTACTCTCTGATCAATTAATTGAGAGACATATATGGAAACAAAACTCATATTTTTCGATCAAATTTCTCTTGACAATTCTTTGGAAAAACTTTTCGCGAACATACTTGGATAACTTTCTCTTACATTTTTTCTCCTTTTTCTTCTCTGTAAAATGATATAAATTTATTTATATCTCTTTTGAAAAATAAAAATAAAAAATTTAACAAAATTTGAGAGAATAATTAATTTAGAGATTTTTTTTTTTTAAATTCATTGCCTTATCTGTTAAAGCCAATCTTACATGTTTCACACTTTCCCTTTTTTTTCTTTTTAATTATTTACAAGAATTTGTTTTATCG